TCATCCCAACGGACTCCTAAAAAGAAGGTAATCCTTCTTCTGTAACTGTTTTAAATTCAGTATCTGTATCAACATCTGTACCAATCCCCGCTCAAGCAGAAAACCCTACTCCACAAACCCTTGATGACTTTGACATTGAATTTGACCCCTCAAAAACCTTAACTCTTAGAGGATCTCACTCCCTACCTACAAATCCAAATATTGAAGTAACACAACAAGAACTTGCAAAAGTTCTATCAGATATTGAAACCTTTGACCAACATATATCTGCTCTTATACCAGTAAATCCAAACTCTGAAACCATTTCAGAAGCACCTCAACCAGAAATTCCACTCTCTCCACTACCAGAAACTCATCCACCTTCTCCATAACCTGAAACCTTACAACCAGAAGTACAAACTTCTGAGGTCCAACCCTCTAAATCCTGCGAACCAGAACTTCATCACTATCAATCCAACCAAACTATTGATTCTGATCCCAATCCCATTCCTGGAATCACTGAACCTCTAACCATCAGTATTCCCCAAATTCCATCTTCACTAGAATCAACTCCACCAAACACCCCAACAAGTCCAATAATCATCCCAGACTCTCCCACTTCCTCATCAAATATCAATCCAAATGACCATGCCAAAACTATCATTGACTTAACTATTTTTGAACGCCTGACTGCCATAACCAACAAAACAGCCATTCCAAAACCAAAACCATCTGAACCTACACCAGATGTTAACCAAGAAGGAGGAAACCAACATCCAAACCAAGGGCTTGTTGGAAGCTTTGTTCACACGTCTTCCTCCTCCCTCTTAGATTTTCCTATGTTTAAAAATTTTGTTTTTCTGTATTATTCTCTACATAGCTCTGAACTTATCATTGATTCTGTTTTAAATATCAACTTATTTTGGCTTTGATTATGTGTTCTTTTTGATAACTGACAAAAAGAGGGAGAAAGAAAAAAAATATTTTCAATAACGGATCACTAAGACATAAGTCTCAAACATTCTAATCTACATAAATTCTCTCTTCTAAAAAGCTTGAACAAGTACAAAACTCTGCTGAAAGATACAGTAAGATTCTGATGCTCAAAGACTCATGGAATTTAAAGGAAGCAATCAACTCAGGGGGAGTTTTTCTACCTAACTCTATACTTTTTGTTCTTTATTCTTTATTGAAAAATCTAGTTTTTGTCATCATCAAAAAGGGGGAGATTATTAGAACATAGTTTGATTCTACAACCCTTGAGTAAAGTTTTGATGATAACAAAATACAAAGAATAAAATTATTTCTAAGGTATATACAAAGAACAATTATGCTCCTGAAAATTATGCTCTGTATATGCAGAAGCTCTGATGGAATCAGCATCAGAATGGAAGCAGCATCAGAAGATCATCAACCTATGTTACAAAGAATGCTGAAACACTGAAGTTTGATGACCAGAATCTGCGCCTAATCAAATACACTCTGACTCTGATCAAAGACATCTTTTCCAAGTCATCAACACTTTGAAGCGTTATCAGCAGATACAACAAAGAAGATTCTGAAGCGTTACTAGACATTCAAGACTGAATTAAATGCTAACGTCTTTCTTCAGACAAAGATCTTCTACAAAAGGAAAGTGCACTATTATCATTAAACCTGCTTTATGGACAACGTATCCTTGCTTGCCTATATAAACAAGACTGCTTGTGAAAAGAAGCACATACGTACGCACTCAATTTGCCAAGCTATCCAAACCACGCATATTCAAAGCTTTAGCAAAGTCATTTTATTCCAATCTTAGTTTGTGTAATTATCACAGTTGTGATATACAGTTTTGTAAGAAAACAACATACACACTAGTTCAATTCATTTGTAAAAAGATTTCCTTGAGATAAACCGGTCTGTGGTTGTACTCAAGAAGACTTTAAAAGTTGTTAAAGTAGCTCTTGTAATCCTTTGAGAATAGTGGATTAAGACCTCGTTGGAGAGAGGCGAAATCACCTTGACGGGTGGACTGGAGTAGTTTGAGATCAAACGAACCAGGATAAAAATACTGTGTTGACAAGCCATTTATTTTAAGTTTTACAATTCACCCCCCCCCCCCCCCCCCCCCCCCCCCCCTCTTGTGTTTTTCACATCTTCAGAAAGTGTTTCAAATGGACCACAAATGTGAGATGAAACTACAATTAGTACATGTGTGACTCTCATTGACAACTACTTCCTCAGGTGTCACTATCTTAGGAAATCCTTCTACTAACTTCATAGTATTCAACTTTCCTAGACTTTTAAAGTTTAGATGCCCATACCTTTGGTGCCAGAGCCAACTTTCTTTATTAGTAGTTGATGCGTAAAGACAGTGTGATTCAGAGGCCTTCAAGATAGTCTTCTAAATCCTGTTTATTGTCAGAGTTTATTTCATCACCATTCTTTTCTTATTGTCATACAACTTCAATGAGCCTCCTTCCATGGTTATTGAAAAGCCTTTCTCAACCAGCTGACCAATGCTCAACATATTACATTGAATATCAAGGACAAATAACACATCTTCTATTAATGTTGTATTGCCTCCCTTTCTTTGTATGAAAATCTTGCCCATGCCTTATGCCATTAAACTTCTGCTATCTGCGAACTTCACACTTGTATTCTTGCTTGAATTAAACTAAATCAACCACTCTTGTATTCTTGCTTGAATTAAACTAAATCAACCACTCTTTATGTCCAGTCATGTGGTTAGAACAACCATAATATAACTCCCACATATCAGAGATCGGAGTTCCTCCACAAGTTGTTACCATCAACATAACATGATCTGAATCTAAATCATCTTTCACAGTGTTAGATTCCTCTGCACAAGTATTGGCTTGCTTTCCCTTTCCAAACCACCCATCGGCTACAAAGGGACCATACTTCTCACAATTGAAGCATTGAATCTTTCTCTTGTCTTGAAGCCTTTTTTTGTTTTAAAATTTTTTAGACTTCCTCCTCCTTTAGAGGATTCAGTTTTTTTCTTCAATCTTCTTCTTCTCTCTACTATTTTGATTGGCTTCTTTTTGGTGCTTTCCTTTTCCCTGCTCCCACCTTCTCTTCATGCCATAAAACCCTCATTTCTTTAAATGAGTAATTAGAGCATGTTCAAAATCTTTCTCTGTCTCTCTTTTATTCAGTCTCATCTCTCTGACTTCAAGAGATCCTTCCAGATCCTCCATTTCCATTGTGGCTAGTTCTTTGGTTTCCTTAATTGTTATTATTATCATATCATATTTGAGGACTGAGACTTCAAAGTACCTTTTTGACTTTCGTTTTCTCTTTCAACGTCTCTCCATAATTCTTCAATTGGTTGGTTAATTCTTGAACCTGGTGAGAAGAAATATGCTATTGATTCACCATCTTTCATATGCAACATTTCATCCCGCTTTCTCAAAGACTGGAGGTGCATCTTCTTGACATCTGTATCTCCAATACAATATTTTTCCAGCATGTCCCATGCTTCTTTCGATGTTGTAGCGTGAGATATTTTATCAAACACCTTCACGTCAACACATTGGTGAATGTAAAATAACACATCAGATCCTTCTTCTTGGATTCCATGATGTTAGTTTCTGAGCATCAGTAGCATCTTCTACTACCGGTTTAAGCCCCTATGCTACATACTCTAACACATCTTGAACGTTCAAGATGACTCTCATCTGGATACATCATTTTTCCCAATTCTTGCCATAAAAAATTGGAAGATTTGCAGTGAAGTTGTTGCCGCCTATTCCAACCATAGCTTCAATCACTATTCATTCCTGGAACTCAACTGATCTCGTGATACCATATGTTGGTGTTATTAGAAGACCATGAACAATGCGGAAGATAATTGAGAGAGAGAGAGAGAGAGAGAGAGAGAGAGAGAGAGAGAGAGAGAGAGAGAGAGAGAGAGAGAGAGAGAGAGAGAGAGAGAGAGAGAGAGAGAGAGAGAGAGATGAGAGAGAGAGAGAGAGAGAGAGAGAGAGAGGACAAATATTATTGACTATTGAATAAGAGAATCTGAGAGATTTGTTACAAAATTTCATAAATACTTACCATATATACATGGAGTAACTAACTATGCACTAACTAACTAAGTTTGAATTAATACACAACAAGACCATCAATTCGAAGGGTCAACATGAGGGATCATTTGTATTTGAGTTTTTTCTTTTTTGAGCAACACATCTTTATGAGAGACACTCTATATACTCATCAAAAATCTTAAAATGATAGGTGTGTGAATTCTCTCACTTATAAATACTCAAGTCACTATTTTTCTAATCAATATAAGACTACCCCACCCCACACTTTATTTTTCAAAATTTTCAACTAGGTTATTCCAACCTATAATAGACATGTAATACTACATTTTGATAGCTATAGCTTACAAATTCTTAGAAATCAATACCACAAAAAGTGGAAGTAATCTTTCCCTCTAAAGTTGCAAGTTTATTCATAAAAAATGTAGTAAGATGTTTTTGATCAGTAAACAATTATTAACTGACAGAGTTCTGATTCTATTTTCACATTCTCTCACACTCCAATATAAATATGTATATATACATGTACTTGCGGCTATATTTATATAAGGTTGCACTTGCTGCACATCATAATCAAACAAAATGGATTTGGTTAATGCTAGTTCATTTGTCGTATAAGATGCTGAATGGAATCTCATTTTTCAGATGAATAATAATTCAGAATACTTTAATAAGATTGAAAAAATGAAAATATTATTATTAATTAAAACGACATTATTCATAGTTTTACATCTACTCTAACTAATAATATGTGATCTCATTGAATAATGATGTTTAGTATAGCACTTCTTTATAAGAGAAATAATGAACACTGTAGGCCATTAAGGGAACAAAATGTTATTGATTATTGATTATTCTAATCAACCATTTCCTCTTCCTATTGTGTATATAAAGATGTTAATAAATGATTATGACTTGCACAAACACAAAACTCTCAACCTCAAATTGAAGTCTTATTAATTAATTAAGATGGCTGGTTCTAGTTCTGTTTCTGGTTCTCCTTGTGGAGCCTGCAAATTCTTGAGAAGAAAATGTATTAGAGGTTGTGTTTTTGCACCTTACTTTAGTCATGAACAAGGTGCTACACATTTTGCAGCCATTCATAAGGTTTTCGGTGCAAGCAATGTCTCAAAGCTTCTTGCTCAAATCCCTGTAAGTGATCGATGCGAAGCCGCGGTTACAATCTCTTATGAAGCTCAAGCTAGACTTCAAGATCCTATTTATGGATGTGTTTCTCATATCTTTGCCCTCCAACAACAGGTTTTTGAATTTTTCTTCTCATTAATATATTTTGAAAAATGTTGTCGTCGCGAAAGCCTAATATGAAACAAAGTTTAAGAATAATTTGTTAGGGAAAACATTAAACTCAATTTTTCTAGTATACTATGAATTAAAAGAGTAATGAATTTTGATTTTTTTGTAGGTGGTTAACTTGCAAACACAACTGGCTTATCTCAAAGAACAAGCAGCACAGACTAGTCTCAACAATTCATCTAACAATGAAAACCCTAATGAAAAGTCAACACCTCATACTCTTCCTCAAGATCTTCAAAGTTTGTTCCATGTTGAAAACTCCAATAATTACTACCAGCATGGACAAGAATTCCTTACTAATAACATGTCTAATATTTCACTAACAACACATTGTTATGGTAATAATAACCCCATGGATCTAAACCCTATGAGGAATTATGAAAACTCAAGAGTCATGGAAGAAAACAGTTCATCATTTTCTAGCTTTGAGGAGAGTACATCTAATTCTATATCTTATGACATGCAAACAAATAGGAGGACATGGGGCTTTGATGATGTTGAGGACCTACATTCAGTGGCTTTTGGATATAGTTGATTAGACTTATGAATCTTAGTGAAGAAGTTTATCGATTTTGAAAAACCAATCGCTAAATCGGAACAAGTCTCTATATGAAGAGTTTTCAATAGTGATTTGTTATTCACTACTCTGTTACCAAAAACGATTTTGGATAGAAGCATAGTTCTCGATAAAATATTACGAGAAGTAGTAGAATTCAGTTTAATTATGATAGAAGATTGAAAATATTGAGGCTATGTGCCAAATTACTTGAATGATATATTAGCTTCATATCTTAAAAACAATAGGTTTTGCTCTGAAACATTTGGAGAATCCGAGAGTAAGAGAATGTATCCTTAAGAATTTGACAGAAAATTATTTAAACCCTACTTTTGTTTATCTTAAATAAATTAAGGCTTGAGAAGAAAAAGAAGATAAAGGAAGACTATATAGTTGGCACAGATACATTTCTCTGAATGTTCTTCTGACAAAGCTAACTTTGTTGCTGATGCAAGGCCCAAACGAAAATGCACCAAACCAGCATGGATGAATGATAATATAATGTATTAAGTAATATTATTTAGTTTATTTTATTTTATTTCCTTTAAAGAATTTAGGCCCAATTAGTAGTGGGTCCTTTTAAGCCCATTATCTCTTGTAACCCTAGTATTTATACTGCTGCAATAGCAGTAGGAAAAGGGTGGAAAAAATCTAAGTTGCATTTATTTTCTTAATTTATGGTTCTTTATGGTGAAGCACTAATTTAGTAGTAACTGCAGAATCTAAATTCTATCATTGGTGCTTTCATTTCCTTCTCCAATGCCTCCCAAGAAAGACACAACAAATCCTAACCCCAAAGACCTTGATGAGTCCATTCAACACACCAACCTCCGAATTGATGAACTCATTCTCGCCAATCGACACGTTGAATCTACCATTGAATTCAACAATGAGAGCCTGCACAATCAGCTCACACAGCTGGACAGCAGCCTCACTGACCGCATGAAGGCTGGATTTTCGGAACTCAGCAACTTTGTGGCGCAGCAAATTAGTCAACAGTTTGCTGCAATTTCAACCGCTGCATCTTCCTCCAGATCTGCAACACCAGGTATTGCAAGCTCTCTTTTACAGCCAACTAGTTCCGAAAATGTTGTTATCAACACCTCTTTTCCCTTGTTACATGTTCCCTTACCTATTAACCAACCTCAAAACCTAACAACCACCGCACAAATGACTAATTCCACCCCTTTCCAACCCACCTTTTCAACGATCCAACTTTCAACCCCAACCAACCCCCCACCATACTCCATTCCTCAAACGCAACCCACTATCAGACCCTCACCTTCAACCTATTCAAATTTCCAGCCACCACCCTTTCAACAGCCCATTTCCCAACAAAACCAGCCATATCCCCCATTTTTGAACCAGCCAGCTTACCATCACCACACTCCACGAAACCCAAAAATTGAATTAGGTGTATTTGATGGTACCGATGCTCTTGAATGGCTGTTTCAATCGGAACAATTTTTTGGGTTTTATAACATTCCCCTTGAAAATAGGCTTCCTATGGCAGCCTTTTACATGAAAGGAGAAGCTCTAAGTTGGTACAAATGGATGTTTCAAAACCAACAATTAACGGATTGGCACTCTTTTGCAAGAGCACTTGAGTTACGTTTCGGACCTTCCACTTATGAAAATCATCAAGCCCAACTTTTCAAACTAAGACAACACGGTTCTGTGGCAGATTATCAATCTAACTTTGAACGCCTAGCTAACCGTGTGTTGGGTCTGCCACCTGAAGCAATGTTAAACTGTTTTATATCAGGTTTAATTCCAGAAATCCGTAATGAACTTGCTATTCACCAGCCCTATTCAGTATCACAGGCCGTGGGCCTTGCCAAATTAATTGAGTCAAAATTAAAGGATTTTAAACCAAAATTTCCCAGACCAACTACCCATGCCCAGCCCAATACTTATAATACAAAACCGGCAACAACTGTTTCCCCATCCTCCTCACTACCCCAAACACCTTCAAATACCAATCCAAATCCTACTACAAACCGTTTTCCCATTAGAAAAATTACAGCGGCACAACGTGAAGAACGTAGAGCAAAAGGACTATGTTTTAATTGTGACGAAAAATTCATTCCGGGACATCGCTGTGCAGCTGGAAAATTTCTATTGTTAATGGTTGAAGATGATTTCCCAATTGATATAGAAGAGACTGTTGACCTGGCTGACACAGGTGATACTGATTCCAATTATGAAGAGACTTATTTTCAATTATCCCCCCAGGCTGTCAGTGGTCAGTTTTCGCCCAAAACACTTAAATTCAAAGGTATCTTGAATGGGCTACAAGTCACCGTTTTAATTGATACGGGTAGCACTCATAATATTTTGCAACCTCGAATTGCCCAACACTTGAAAATTCCCACAAAATCCATTCCTAACTTTTCTGTTATGGTTGGCAATGGCTCACAACTGAATTGTACTGGTTTGTGTCCCAAGGTTCCAATCACATTACAAAATCACTTATTCTTCATTCCCTTTTATTTACTTCCTATTGAAGGCGCTGATGTGGTCTTGGGTATGGAATGGCTACGCACCTTAGGCCCCATCCTAGCAGATTTCTCTATCCCAAAGCTGTCTTTCACTCATAACCAAAAAGACATTACCATCACAGGCGACCTAAAGGCTTCCCCGACACAATCCACTTATCACCAATTTTGCCACTTACTCCATACCGACTCCATTGCATCCATCCATCTTTTACTATACCAACCCCCAACTGACAACCTAGACTCCATTTCCCCAAAAACCCCACCAGATATCCAATCTGTCTTAGAGTCTCATGCCACCATTTTCCAAGCACCTAAAGGCCTACCCCCAACCCGACCCCATGACCATCACATTCCACTTGCACCAAACAGTTCTCCAGTTAATGTAAAACCCTACCGTTATCCTCACTCTCAAAAAGAAGCTATGACTACAATTATAAGGGATATGCTGACAGAAGGCATTATTAAACCTAGTAATAGCCCTTATTCTTCACCTGTTCTTCTGGTGCGAAAAAAAGATGGAAACTGGAGATTTTGTGTTGATTATCGTGCTCTAAATGCCCTTACTATCCGTGACCGTTTCCCTATCCCAACCATTGATGAGCTCTTTGATGAATTAGGTTCTGCATCTTTGTTTACAAAGATTGACCTCAGGTCAGGTTACCACCAAATTAGGGTGACACCAGAAGACACGCATAAGACCGCATTCAGGACCTTTGATGGGCACTACGAGTTTTTAGTTATGCCATTCGGTTTGACTAATGCTCCTAGTTCTTTTCAAGCGGCGATGAACGATCTTTTGCGACCATATTTAAGAAGGTTTGTCTTGGTTTTTTTTGATGATATACTCATTTACAGTTCTTGTTTATCTGATCATGTTCGTCATTTGGATTTAATTTTAGGATTACTTTCTTCTAATCACTTTTATGCAAAATTATCAAAGTGTGTGTTTGCTGTTTCGAGTGTTGATTATTTAGGTCATGTGATCTCCTCTAATGGCGTAACCCCGGATCCCTCTAAAATTCAAGCTGTGCTAAATTGGCCAAAGCCACGCTCACTCACGACTCTCCGGGGCTTTTTAGGTCTTACTGGTTTTTACCGACGGTTTGTTCGTCATTACGCCACTCACGCCGCTCCGCTCACAGATTTATTACGTTTCACTAGATTTACATGGAGTACAGAGGCAGATGTAGCCTTTACAATTTTAAAAAAAAAAATGACAGAGACTCCAGTGCTTGCTCTTCCGGACTTCACCAAGCCTTTCACCCTCGAGACCGATGCTTCTGCAGTAGCCATAGGTGCTGTCCTTTCTCAAGAGGGCCATCCTTTAGCATTCTTCAGTAAAAAAATGTGCAACCGCATGCAGGCCGCCTCAGTGTACGTTCGTGAGATGTATGCAATCACTGAATCTGTTAAGAAGTGGCGTCAGTATTTGATAGGCAGACATTTCTATATATTTACAGATCAGAAGAGTTTAAAAAATTTGCTTGATCAAACAATACAAACCCCAGAACAACAGAAATGGACCTCAAAGCTACAAGGATTCAGTTTCGACATTTTTTACAAACCTGGCAGAAACAATCAAGTGGCGGACGCCCTTAGCCGCATACACACAGAGGATGATGTTGCTTGTTTAACCCTATCTTCACCAGTTCCGGTCCTCCTTGATCAATTGAAACAACACTACACGAAAGAAAAACAAGGTCAAGACTTTGTGGCAAAGTACTTGTCAAATCCGGAAATGCAAACTGTTTTCAGCTTCAAAGACAATCTCATGTACTACAAGGACAAATTATACATACCTCCCTGTCATGAGTTCAGAAAAACCCTCCTCCACGAATTTCATGCCACCACCGCCGCTGGACATTCGGGGGTTCAACCCACCCTTGCTCGCTTATCGACTTCTTTCAACTGGCCAGGACTCCACAAAGACACAAAAGAATTTGTCCGAAGTTGCTCTATCTGCCAGCGAAACAAATACCTTCCAAAAAAAAAACAAGGATTACTACAAGCTTTAGCAATTCCAACACAGGTTTGGGAGGATCTAACCATGGATTTTATAACACATTTACCTGTTTCTTTTGGACACACAGTGATTTGGGTCATATGCGATCGCCTTAGCAAGTTTGTTCACTTCTTAGGACTCCCAACCCACTTTACTGCGAAAGATCTCGCAACTCGATTCTCAGCTGAAATCTGTCGTCTCCATGGTATGCCTGTCTCCATTGTCTCTGATAGGGATCCCTTGTTTCTCAGCCACTTCTGGAAGGAACTCTTCCGTTTACAAGGAACCACCCTGAAACACAGTACAGCTTATCACCCAGAAACAGACGGTCAAACTGAAGTCGTAAACAGAAGTTTAGAAACTTACCTCCGTTGCTTTACCGCGGACCAACCTCGCAGATGGTTCAAGTATCTGCACCTAGCCGAACTCTGGTACAATACTTCACACCACTCCGCCATCAATATGACTCCTTTTGA